CCAAGCCCCACGTTGGGCGCCAGATGCAAGAAAACTCTCAGGGAGTTCGTGTTTTCGGGTTTCTTGGATGTGTGTATGAAAACGTACTCGTAATAATTGGAGGTGAAATCGGGTTTATTTATATCGAATCGATGACTCTAAAATAAATGTAATATAAATTCAAGTATATCTTACATTGAATCTAAATGGGAAATACCCACATGGCGGAGGAACATACATACAAAAAATATCATTATGAACATCAAATTGATCATACAAAGGTAAGACTCACCTAAAATAAATGCGGGTGCATACACGAAAACGTCGGGTATTCCAAACCCCAAGCAAAGTATTTTAAAGAAATATTCAACGATATAATATATAGGACCCAATGGCGTTCCGAATGAAATCAGGTATCAAAATGGTCAGAAAACTATTCGTTCAGGTAGAAACACTTTTTTCGGATTTGAATGCAAAAACAATTTTCACAAAGGTAGGGCACGTGGCGTCCTCGTCCAATACATACGCGAAGCTTGCACTCTGTCGTACAGATCCTGTTACAGTTTATTTCGGAATGTTCGGCCTCTCGACGCTAGAGAGCGACAAAGATATTTTTAGGATTTGTGTTCGTTCCGATTTGGATTTGGCAAAGGTGAGGTACCTAGTAGGTGAAAAGAGAAAATCTGAAAACACTTACAACCAAATGAAAAATATTTTAATAATGATCCTCGATCATTTACCATGAAGCGGGAAATCTCCATTTGATCTGCTACATATCTAGCCACCCTACATTGGTGGGCACGTATACCTACCTGTCAATAACAAATTGAGCGACTTAGATACCCTCAGTCAAGATCAAAAAACTTTATTCAATATTGGTGAAATATATTCAAAATCAATTGTAGAATATAAGTGAATGCAGGTGCGGCACGAGACGATCCCTTCAGAGGAAACTTCAAACCCGCCACTGCTTGCCTTTTTGAGGCATCATAATTAACCTCAAAATATGAAAAATAGACGGGTTCCTGGCCGCCGCACGTGTGCACTCCTTGAGGAAAAGCGCTCTTCTTTATGTGAAGAAATTTCGTGTTTTCCCGCGATATTATTCTGCCTGCCGTTGTAAAATACGGAAGTTCAAACAGATTGAAGCGCTAATAACTGATGGCATGCAATCCGCAGCGACCCGAAGGTCTTAAGGGGTTACGAATAGCTGAAGAAAATTAAAGGGCACTTCCGTGTTTTCAAATTGCATGCCGATGTAAAGAATTAAAAGTGTTATAACATAAAAACAATTTGGAAAAATTGGCATGCCCCCTCCCCCTCCTTTGTTGGAAAATTTCGGGAAAACTGTAAAAATTTCAAACAGGTTTTCCGTAATTCCAAACTGCATGCCATTGGAAAGATACGTCATTTGTATAATTACCAACTCCAGCTCCATTTTGCATCATTGTATTTAAAGTTGCAGTGAAAATGTTTTTTTTTTGTTTAATGCAAATAAATATTATTATTATTATTATTATTAACTATTAATTAAATGAGTTTTCCCGAAATTGTCCAACGTTGGCCAGACGAGAGGCGCATGCCAATTTGTCCAGTGTTTTTGTTACCAAAACTTCGACTCTTTACATCGGCATGCAATTTGAAAACAGGGAAGTCCCCTTCAATTTTCTTTAGTTTTTCGTAACCCCTTTGAGCCTTTTCGGCCGCTGCAGATTGCATGTCATCAATTATTAGCGCTTGAAATTGTTTGAACTTACATATTTTACAACGGCAGGCAGTATAATATGGAGGAAAAACAAAAAAAATTCTACACAAAAAGAAAAGCGCTTTTCCTCAATGGGGCGGGCAGGAACCCGTATATATTTTATATTTTGGTGGTTAAATTATAAAGCCTTATATTCAACCATGTACCTTCCCCCTCCTCCCGCCACATGAACATGAACAACCACCGGCTAGGCCCGAGTACCTCAGTCAAATATCTTGGTATGAATCTAGACCAAAAACTCAACTTCAATCACCATACTGCACTGATAAAAAGAAAAGCAAGGGCTAGAGCAAAACATTTCAGAGCTCTTACATACAAGAACCAAGGAATTGACATCATAAAAGCAACAAAAATCTACAAAGCAATAGTCAGACCAATGATCGAATATGGACACCCAGTATACATCAACTGCAGAAAACCAGCTATGAAAAACCTACAAGTTGCCGAAACTGCTGCACTTAGGACAGTTACAAAAATGAGACACCCTAATAATAGCCTACATAATCCATCAAACGACCTGCTTTACAGAAGAACCAAAGTGCAGCCTATACAAGACAGACTGAAGACACTCACCAGGAAATTTGCCGCCAAACCCCATAACATGGAAGTTATAGAACCCTTGAAGATCCCAAGACTTGAAGTAATACCAAAGTGCAAATACCCAGAAAGAACAATACTCGAAATGATTACAGAAATGACAGATGAATATGGCCACTAATGATATAATCTTGTGTTAAATCCAACAATCCTAGGAATTCATCAATACCAAAATATGTTTTTTTTTCTGTTTACATAGTTATAAAAAATAAACCTAGCTTCAATTCCATCAAACGGTATAACCCCCAATGTAGCCAGATTTCAAAGGCTGAAGGACTTCGGTCGATGGCCAGTTGGTCACAATGTATATTATTATTGTATGTATATGTTATGACCAATAAAGTACATATCATTATTATTATAATTATCATTATAAAGCCTTGAAGAGGCATGCAGTGTGAAATGGGAGAACTTCACCTGTCACCAACTCTTAGTCTATAAACAGTTGCGAAAAACAAAAAAAATTCTTCACAAAAAGAAAAGCGCTTTTCCTCAATGGGGCGGCCAGGAACCCGTATATGTTTTATATTTTGGTGGTTAATTATGAAGCCTTGAAAAGGCATGCAGTGGGAAATGGGAGAACTTCAGCTGTCACCAGCTCTTAGTCTGTAAACAGTTGCGAAAGCTATGCCTTCTACAAATTCCTATGCGCATGTGCTGCATAGTACACTCATATATGTATTAATTATTTATATGGATAACAACGGGTGCCAGGTTGAAGCTAAAAATATGAAACATATTATTATCCATAGGGATATGTGGTACGTTCATCAGCCTTTGAAATATCACATTATGTGTTTTATCGGTTCATAAGGACATGATGTTCGGTTGTTTTAGTTTAGGTTTCGCGGACATGTTTAGTAGCAGAGGTTTGATTGATAATATGAATTTTCAGAGTATATTTTCCATCTAAATTACATCCCTATCTGAACTACTTGAAAGTTACACTTGATCAGTACATATTCACCATGAAATTGTCATCCTAGAAAGTGTGGTTATATTGCAGTAGTAGTTGGAATAAAAGGGATGTCCTTTTTTATGCACCATAATTAGAAGGTATAGTATTAATTGATTATTTTTGGATAATATCCTGCTTCGAACCTACTAGGTAAGTGTACCTGCTAAGTGTAATCTGCCGATACCATCTGATGAAAACCAAGCTGGTAACAGTGACAACCATAATGATGACTAAAGTATCAACAAAGAAATACATTTTCAATGAATTTGTACTGTTGAAGCAATAAAATGATTATAGTATACTCAAGTAGAAAACGGGAATAGGATATAATAAGGTATTTTCTTAAGACATATAAAATACTACTTGTTTACAATCATACATACTTCCAAAGTTCTATAAAAAATGGCAACGTTGTTAACTGTGCGTCACTGTTCACACTTTTCTTCACCAGTCGCGCAGGTTTAGCAAGGGGCAAGACAATGTTACTACAAAATGGCAACGCTATTATACTTCTTATAAAATGTTTGGGTCTAATCTTTTAATTTTAATACCAACTATTGGTAGTACTTTAGATACTTGCAAAAATTCAGTTAACCCAACTTGACCTGCGATAAACACACCACTGCTCGAGTTGAAAAACGTATAACCTAACTTACCATCGAAATACCATAATAGACTTTTAATTTCAAGTTTTATAACAAGAAAACACTGAAAATCAATTGAAACACAAATGACCTAAAATGGTAACAAACACAGCACAACAACACTGTAACGTAAGATTTTGACATACGTGAATGACTTTAAGAAAAATATGCATAATTCGTAGTAAATACGCCCATACAGCATTGCCACACTTATTTCCATAATACATTACAATTTTATGTAATGATGAAATTAGGACAATTTAATTTCAATAGCAGAATTCGAATATTTCAATGAAGGAACATAACATACATGATAAATATACATGAAAAATGTATATTATATAATTAATGTATGGTTAATGCTTCCCTCGTTTTCAAACCCAGGCGGTAGATCTAGGGCAAATCGCAGTAATTTGTCATCATCGTTTTCTGCTGAAACCGATGTTGGATCGGGACAATATGTAATACGGCTTCCTTTTGCGCTATGGAAACAGATAGAGATTATATATGTATATTGTTCATTAACACGTATATGAGTACACTAGACAGATATCATAAACAATCGCGCATAAATGTCGTCGTTCAGTCGAAGTCGGTGGTTCCTGCGTTAGCAAGTTAGACTCTAGTGATCCACATCAATATGTGTTACAAAGGTTCAGTATACCATGCACAAAGGTATTTGAGACTAAACGAAAATCAATTCAACACTTTTAACATAAATATATATCATGTAATTGCATTTGAAAGTTTTGATTAATTACTTTTGAAATATGAGGAACTGTATGAAATCATTGGAGTTTGAAAAGGAAATTATTATTTGTTTTATAGTAGTGATGAAGATACTGACTACCCGTTTTGCAGGGATCTTATAGTTATATCGACACCAAGGAAGCACGCTAAACCCAATTTATTTTACCTCTCACGGAAGTTCATGATTTTTTCTCCCGTTGAAGTTGATTGATAACTTTGCTTCCTCAAATGAAAGCATATGATATTTTGCTTGTCCAGCGTAATTTCTGAGGATTCGCGAGTCAATGGTATTGGTAAATAATCTTACTGCTTGTGAGTAGGCACTCAAACACTGTTTCAGAATCTTCGGATTTTGCTGAATTCCAAAAAATGAAGAAAGGTGGGCATTGCCTAGTATCGCCCAAGACAAACCATCTTGAGGATCAAGTTGGACAGCCTCCTTGGCATAATTCACTCCTTTTTCTATATTCTTTATCCGATCTTCTCTGGATTTTGATTCTTCTTGCCTTGCTAGCATTGATAGGTTCCTCAGAGAGTATTTATTCTTTTTCTGAAAAAATAGAGAAAATCACTGTCAATCAAATAAGGATATAAATATGAATTCTGAGATGGTTTGTTTGATAAACCTATAGCCAAACAAATATGGAGATATGGCGAAATTTCATTCTTAATATTCAATATTTACAAGAAAAATGTCTATGAACAAGTTATTTTGTTCTCGCATATTGAAAATCCTTAGCCGAATAATGGATAATATACAGGGTGACAGTTTCAAGAGGAGCCATAGGCTATAAATAGGGTGGATGGTGCCTATTTCATGTAAAACCTCAAATGGCTAATGTTATTCACACACAGAAATAGTGGCAATTACCGATCTAACAAGGCTTTTCGGAGCGAGGGAGTTGGCAAAATATTCCATTAGAAATAGGTTAGTTGCAGAAGAATACGCCGCAGGCGAAAATTTTTAATTTTTCGAAGTCAAATGTCTGAAACTGACAAGTTAGAAACTCATAATACAAAAATAATAATACACTCTGAAAATATATTTCATGGAACTTTCAACTCGGAGAGAGGGGTATCACCCGATTACCCCCTCACATGCACGCCTGAATAGTGCAATTTTTGAATGAAAAAAAAACTCAGAGCGGTGATAGAGCGCAGTGGTTGATGCGCTCGACCAGTAACCAGAAAATCGGAAGTTTGCTAGATCGAATCCACAGCAGAGCAGAGAATGTTTATTTATAAAATGAGTTATAATTCTAATTTCCGCATGACTCACTGTTGCGTTCCAATTAACAGTGTTGCTCTTAAGGTATCGTATGGAGTCAGTAACATAGCCTACACAGAACTCACATGGCTGAAAGACTTCTCTTTCTCGAATGATTGCAGCATTAGAAATGTACTGAAGAGAATGAAAAATTGATAGTTAGATATTTAAAATATTAATAATAAAAAATTAAATATTTAAAATTGAGGGGGTACACCATATTCTTAAAGAGTTGTTTGCCCCTCGTTGAAACTCATGTAGCTCATAGACTATTATTGGAAGATCCAAATATTGTACGCCTGAGAACATATTATAACCTCCAGAAATTTAAGAAGAACACCAATTCCTACCTTATTTCCCTTGGTTCTCACGATGTTATCTGAACATTACAGGATATACCTTTTCGCGGGAACCAGAACATGAAAAAAAAATGTTTATCGCTTGGAGCGCACGAAAGGGAATCCCTATTACGTTCGAAGAACATCGCGTTTACCTAGGAAGAATAGGGAGAGGAGGTGGGTATTAGATTTTTTCAACTTCTGGGGATTATATATAAGTTCTTGGGAATACTTCCTTCGGCAATGAATTCCAGAGCTTTGCCATTCTATAGGCAAACGAGTTTTGATGAAGTGCTGTTACACATCGACATATTTCGAGGTTGACAACGAAAGGATGTGTTGACTGGGCTTTACGAGTTCGTCTGACGGGTATTGCTGGCGATAGAATGATAGCAGAGGTTTCTCAAGGATATTTCCCGTAGAAGTATCTATAGAAAAGTGGAAGGTCGTCGAGCTGCGGACCTACGCAAGAGTGAGTGGGGCATCAGCCACCAGGAGAATTGCTCTTTTCTGAATCTCAATCAACGCACAAAATCTCGAGAATCGTATCATGAGTTACTACTGTTCATGTAAATCTGGAGTCCGAACATTAGGTTGTTGTGCATATTCAAGATATCAGGAAGAGTCCCAATACCCATCGTCTGCCTTATTAAATATAGTTGAAGATTGTAGAAATAGGAATAATGTAAAATACTGTCTGTAGGTTAATCGAGGAGGTGGTACATTCATTATTCCAAATTTTTTGGGATTTTCTCTCCTTGTATATTGAAATAATATAAATTTTTTCATTTTATAGAAACTAGGAGAGAAAATCCCAAAAAAATTGGAATAAGGAATAATGTAGATTCTCATGTCCCTGAGAATAATGAAGATCAGTAATTAGATAATTTATGACTTCTTCATAGATTTTTCCACCTTCTATATGAAAAAATGTCCGTAAGGAAGGATATATCAGTCGATCTATGTAGTGTGGCACCAAGTTCTCGTGAATGAGCTACCTTCCTATATCTTGTTTATCTTTGTATGATTGTAAGCAGGTAGTCGAGAAAGCAATAGGTAAGTATACTGATTACTAAGTTTGTATTGCACATGAACGATGTGTTGTTATGACCCAGTCTTCAATTTTCCTACAGATACCACCCTTATTGCTTCACGGTCGTACGATGCACAAATATCCACATCGACGAAATATAGTCTCTGATAATGCGGATCCGGATAGTGGACGATCTTAGCCCAATTCAAGAACTCTAAGACCCAAGTAACAATATTTCCAAAGAACGCCATCAACAGTGCAACCCATGTAGGTAAATATTCATGGTCAGTAGCAATGCTGATATCACATATGGTACCTGACAACTTGTCTCAGTACGATCATTTCGCCAATAAAGCCATGGTGAAAAAGTTATCTATCAGCAGCTTCTGCCACTTTTTCGAAAGAAAAAATCGATCATCTTTAGAGAACTGAAACGTTGAGGACCTGTTACAGTTTTACAGCTACTATCTTGAAAGTGTTTGGCTGAATCAAAGCGTTAAGGAGAACAGAAGATTGGCATTCCGGAAGGATCAAACTATGCACGTTTTGGAATTGTTCAATGCAGTAGGAATTATTGAAGGAACCAAAGAAAACACAAGTCTTTCGGAACCTCCAACAAAAGTCCAGCAGGATTCACTTGAGGCATACAACAAATCTGCTGCTCAGGCGTAAATAGTTACATCACAATGTGTTAGTGATGAACTGCATCAACGAGTTTCAAGCAGATAATCAGCTAAGGAATAGTATAACGTGCTAGCCGAACAGTTTGATAACAAAGCTGAAGATCAGTTATTCGTGACTTCGCTGCTGGTCTGAAAACACGAAGTATTCAAACAGTTGATTCTTTTCTGGAGCTATTGTTCGTTTCGAAAGTGTAGCATTTCTTCCCAAGCGATTTGAGTCGTTAAAATCAAGTTACTTACTCATGAAAGCAAATAAAAATAAATCAGTCGAAGATCTCTCGTCAGCTCTAATCCTTCATGAGCGTAACATCGCACCTGCTTCGAAATCAGGCGATGCTCTCTACACCAAAAGTCTCACAGCACCGAAGAAGAAGAGGAAAATCACTTCTACCAGCACGATGATCCTCGAACGATCAGTGATGGATTGACAACGGTACTACCCGTCATATAACCTCGAGTTCAAACTGGTATACGGATTACAAGCTGTTTCCTGTGAATTTCAATGATACTGTTAAAGCTGCGGGAAAGGAGGAGAGCAAAGCATTTGGAAGTGTGACAATCGAAGTGGCTAACTATGTCAACGACAAATTTAAAACATTCATACTCAAAGACGTGTGGTATGTTCCCGCTATTTCAGGAAATCTTGTCTCCGTCCTAGCAGCCCATGATCGAAATCCTGGCAGTAAGTTTGAATCAAAGGACGAGGGGTAAATCTCCTTGGAAGTCTGGTGTACACTCCATTGGAAGTCTTTGGAATTCTTTGGAAGTCTTTGGATGTTTTGGATGTCTTTAGAAGTCTTTGGTTGTCTTTGGAAGTCTTTGGATGTCTTTGGATGTCTTTGGAAGTCTTTAGAAGTCTTTGGGAGTCTTTGGGAGTCTTTGGAAGTCTTTGGAAGTCTTTGGAAGTCTTTGGTAATTGGAAGTCTGGTGTACACATTTTTCCTGGAGATTTACCCCTCGTCAAAGGATACCAAATGTCGATTCAGTATCAAGAATCAACAAGTATTCGACGGAACCCGAATCACAGGTGGCACACTATATTGTGCTACATTTCATACGTTGCCGCTAGCAGAGGTTTGTGTAGATGTGACTGAACACGATTAGACACTTCAACTTTACCATCAACGTTGGGGTTATATGGACAAGGACAAGCACTACATCCGTGCGAAGCTTAATTCTGAATTGGGAGTAAAAATGCCTATGAAGATCGGCTTTGCGAACCATGTCAGTTCGGCAAGGCACATCGATTACCATTTGGTGCGTGAAACCAAGCTTCTGCCCCTGGTGTGCTGTTAGGAATATGGAGTGAACCAGCGACTGAAGGCACCGTACACACCTGTGCAGAACCGAGCTATTGAACGAGAAAATCGAACAATCGTGGGATATAGCTGGTACTTTCAATCATTCAAATCCTGACATCGATATTCCTGCAGCAATCTGGGCTGAGTTCGTTGTTAGCGCTGGCTATATTCATCAGTTGCGGATAAGATGTCATTTGAACTATGGTTTGGTCGGAAGCAAAGGATCAAACATCTGCGTATTGTGAGCTCAAAATGCTACGTACACATTGCGGTGCAGAAGAGACGAAAAATGGATATGGATGAATGGTTGGATACGACGGAAATGAACGTTTCGGGTCTACATTCCTGAAAAGGGAGATGTCGTGTTCTCGGGTGATTTTGTATTTGTCGAGAGGGTCGATGACTGTCAAGAACGAATATCCTGGCCGATCAATGAAGACCAAAGTGCTGAAAAAGTAGACAGCCGCGCAACCAAAGAGGAAGCAATCGATGAGCCAAATCTCGTCACAGATCGCTCCGATGAGGACTCCAGCGAAGAAGAGTCATAAATGTAGAATACCAAAACCAAAGTCTAGTGACTTCTCTTCTACGTACAGACAATGAATCAGCCAAGAAATTAGCCGTAAATCCTGAATTTCACTTTCATACTAAGCATATTAAGAAGTATCTATTTATCAGAAAGGACATTATTGCAGGTCGCATTTCAAATATAAAACAGTATTTCCTTATTTACGGTTTACCCTGTATCTAAAGAGGAGATATACAACGTTATTAACTTGTTCTATAAGAGTTATTTCAGTATACATCAGCGACTCTATAGATAAATATTCCTAGTAATGTGGGCAAAAAATTCTAATTATAGTAAATTTTTTTCAAATCCATTAGGGACTTACTCCACATCATATATGATGCTGCAGAGCAACATAATTTGTTGTCTGAAAAAATTCATCACATCAATATTGAATATTGAAATATTTTTTCAATTCGAATATAATTTAGCTGCTGTAATGGAACAGGTAGATATCTTCATGCCATGTATCTTCTTGTCATACAAAGGATGAAGATGAAATTTGAATAAAGTATTTTGTAATTGAAAAAGGTCACTTCTTGATATTCTTTTCTATAAAATTAATGAATATCATTATTGTCTTAACCAATATAAGCTGGAATCATTGTATAATTGTTGACCAATAGCAACAATATTGATGAATGTTTCATCGTAGTGACTTGACCTATCAAAAAATAATATAATAATAGCTCAAAGGGCAAGGGAGAAAATGAATCAATTCAGACTTCTCTAGCGCCAAAACTAGCCATTATAACAGTTTGGTCCTTGGACATTTTGTTCACAATGCCTTGGACTATAACATATCAAGAATTAAGCTAATTAGACAAAAGGACAATTTCCCCTATAAAACAAACTTGCACTATCTTTGGACAGAAAAATCTAACCTCAAAAAAGTTTATGTTTATGAAACTACTCAGTGCGAACCATGTAACTGGCGCCCTCTATGATAATAAGATATAAAAACAAATTCATGTGATGTGTCAGCTTCCAAAACAACTTATGTGAAGTTGGCGCCAACTTTTTTGAAAAACTGAATTTTTATCCGAGTTCTGGGTAGATACCATAGAATTCTAGAATTCTGGAGTCCTGAAAAAAAAATTCAACAGTTCTGGTTAATTGTAGAAAATAACGGAAAAACAAAATTGTGGGTGCTAACTTCACACGGCGCCGCTGTTTTCACTGAAAAGATTCCACAAATATTTGAAAGAGTTCTGGAGTTCCTGATATATTTCAACAATAGTTCCAGCGAAATAACAAAGTTATTGCTATTTTTAATAAGGACATTCATGTGCTCACTAGTATGCTCATGTAGCATCCACCACTTCCTAAAGTTCGGATTGGAGTTCTGGGTAGCAGAAATTGAAATTTTGTCAGGAACTCCAGAACTCTATCATATCTACCCAGAACTCCGATAAAAATTCAGTTTTTCAAAAAAGTCCCTGCCAACTTCACATAAGTTCCAAAACACATTCATACAAAATTGCATTAGAATGTTGCTAGTTATTTCTACATAACTGTGAAAATGAGTAAAAAAATATTTTTTTCAACACCTTGTATCTGGAAAACGGATGCTGCTATGTCATATTTTTACTAAGCCAACAAAACTTATTTTGCAGTGTTCTACCTACCATAGCAAGAGGGTCAACTTTCTTTTGAACTTTAGAGATATTTTGAATAAAAAATTGTATTTATTCATATTAACTGTCATTATTATTGATTGACTGCCTTGGCTGAATACCTAGCCTCTCTATTCTCAGCTATGAAATATCAGCCATGGCAGTCCTCCTATTTTCCTGCCTAGTAAAACAAATAACTATTGTGTCCCTGTTTGTGAGTATAATCAATCACCAATTAACTTACCTCTTTCAGAGCACCTTCAAAGCAATTGACAGATTTTCTCAAGTCATCATTTTTCCAATAACACTCTCCTAATTCGTTCCAAGCATCAACAAGTTTGGGGTCCAATTTGATGGATTTAGATAACAAACTTTCAGCATCTTTGTTATATTTAGGAACAACATTCAATAGTTTTCCTTTCAAATAGTTGTACCTTGCTCTTGTTGTATCACTAATCAAATGTTCATGTTCATTAAACACTATTAATGTATCACTCAGTAGCTTTCCAATCTCTTCATGTTTATTTATGGCTTCTTCAATTTTATGATTCTCAAAATATCTATCCCTGAAGGAATAAACCGAATCCACTCTATCCTGTGAAAGAATTTATGAAATCATTAAACCACTACTTTTATAGAAAATTCATCCTATATTTAGTAGGTGTTGGGGCACACCTGCAAATGGAAGTGTAGGTAGTCACCTTAAGAAAATCAATTATGTTTGCATGCTCCTCTTTACACTGACAAATAGTTGGCTGACCATTTACACAATCCATTATATTCTGAATAAATTAAATTATCATTCCTATAACTCAAATCTGTGCCATCATCTCGAATCTGCGACTCTATTTCACAAACCCAAAAATAAATAAAAATAAGGAATGTTTTTATTTCTGATGGACTAGTGAGTAGTGACTGGTGGTAGAGCTAGGGGAGGTTATAAAAATCAAAAAAATCTGACACAGAACTCACAGAATTAGGTATTTCGGAATGCTGTCAAAATCAGATTCAAGATGGTTGCTGTACCCAAACAAATAGCTGTCATTCCGTGACTTTTTTAACCATATTTTCAATTGAATTTAAAATGTGTTAAATGCTGCTTTCTTCGCTTCTTTACTTGATAATTGAACTTTATATACTTAGTTTTATTAGGATTGCATCATCTTTATGAAAATTATTGAATAGTTGATGTGTATTCCTGTGGTGTATTCTGGACACTATTTGGATAGGTTTTGCTTGGTGTTTGTATTATAACAATGTTTTATTGTGGAATAATCAATTGTTAGAGTCGGTAATATCGTGATAGCATGAAGTTTCATCGAATCCTGAGTGTCTTGAAATTTAGACATAAATTGGAACAATGAATTATCAAAAGAAGAGACAAGTGGATAAATAGAAATGGTTTGATGGAGAAGAAACTCAAAATGTTGAGAGTTTGCAGCAAACATTTCCTACCTACTTGGTGAGTTCACTGAAACAGGTAATGAACAGTAGTTAATATAATAGGTATAATGGAAATTTTAGGGAAACCTGCATATCTATCAGATGTTGATAATCCTAACTGGGCTCCCAGTTTATTTTTGGGATATGATAGCTTATCCTCTGACAACCAATCTAAGGAAACTATCAATGATATGGAAACATCAGAATGCCAAGCTGAGGCTGCAGGACCATCTGATTTCAAACAGGCTGCAGGGCCATCTAATGAACAGGCTGTAGGATCATCAGATTTTCAAGATGAGAACCTTAGTATAGTTCCTGAATGTGATAAATATTCACAAACAAATATCACAGCTGTCAGCCTAGTGCTGATCCAATTATAATTTGATAGGATTGTCCCCACAAGAAACAGTGTGTTTGATCAGTGAGGCTTGTGGAGAAAGAGCATCTGAATATCCCATAACAATCAATTCAAAATTAATAGATAATATTATTCCAGGTGAGTTTCTGTACAAGATCAGTTGAATATAATTGATACCAATCTTTATTAAATCCAGAATTACTGAAAGAGAATAGACTTTTTAAATTAGTTTTATTGACTAGAAGCTAGAAATATTTTATATGTATGGAAAAACTAACCTTATTAAACAGCATGCACTGTTGAAAATGTTCCACTTGTCTTGACTTTCAATCTATTTATGTATGTCTACTGTTCTAAGAATCTTCTGAAACTCATCTGAATCTCAAACAGTATCTATCAAACTTTCAATTAATACAAATTCAATTTGTAGGTGATTTGATTTTAGGTGACCATGGCTTTTTGGTTGGTGACTATGTACAAATTTTGAATGCCCAAGTGAAGATTCAAGCTTTTACAAAAGGACAGAAACAATTACATCCTACTGAGATTGTGGGAACTAGAGCTACTGATGCCAATTTGAGAATTCATGTGGAGTGAATTATTGGTGCAATGAAACAGAAGTACAGGATATTAGCTGATCAACATGCCAATTTCACTTATAATGTGGTGATGATCCTACTCTCCACAAAATCATTACAATTTGCTGTGCAAATATCAACAAATGTCCCCCAATTGTTCAATTGCACTGAATATATTATGTTCTTGATTGATGAAGGTATATAGTGATAGAGTTGTTATGCAATATAGACAAATCTTTGATAAGTAGGAACCAAATATATACAGCATATCTCACTTTGAAAGCCCCTTCCTCTATATCCCTCAACTGGCCCCTCAATATCTTGATTTTTATGAAATCATATCAGGAATATTTTGGCACAAAAACTAACTTCATATTGTTCCTCATGCTTCCAAACCTCTATATTGTACAAAAAAATCACCACATTTCAAATTGACAGGATTGGCTTAATTTTTTTTATTTTCAGCCTGGAGAAAATAGTGAATTCAAACTGCTAATCATGATTTAAAAAAAAAGATACAATATTTTATGTTGAAGTCACCATTTCAGAGTAAATAATGATAAGATTACATTTGCAAAATTGCTATTTAGATATGCCTGTTTTTGAATTTTGAACAAAACTGGTTTGCTCACTCACAACTCACCTAAATAATAAATCATGATAAGTATAAGATATTTGGGAACACAGGAGAAGAAATACTCAGTTTTTTTTTCAAAAACACAAATGAACAAGATTGAAATTTATTATATTGTTGTAAGACATTTTTCTTTGTGCCAACACTTTTGGTTGGTCAATTTTCATGAACTTTTCATGAAACATCAATGAACAGTGGATTCATATGTTAATTCATAATCAAATTGTTGATAAAAATATTCCTTGTGATAAGACTGATGAGTATTGTTTGAAAAAATCTGAATTACTATGTTATATCCACTTAATGTGATAAATATCTTGTGTATGAATGATAGGTACTCATAATAGCAAATGTTTGTAATTATTAATAAGTATTTTGTGTGATTATGATATCTATAGATACTTTGATGAACTGTGATGATAGTCAAAATTTCTAAATTCAAAATTCAAGAAGAATTATTGATGAACAAGGTTGATCTGTTTTTCAATGAATTGTTGGTCAATACAGCAAACTTAAACAAGACATTAAAATGTTCAAGATAATTCACAAAAATGACTTGGTGGACTTTCTGGAAAAACATTCTGTTGACTATATAATCATTATTACAGGTATTACATTGAAATGTGTTTGAGAAAACTATAGTTAAGATGAATAAAATCATGAAGCATGAATATGTAGTGTTTTAATGAATTATAAGATTAAAAGAAACTATTTATAATATAGCTTGATTTTTAATTGGAGAATAATTGATTTCATCAATAGTGTAGATATTTGGGGGAATTGTGTCAATATTCTATTGGTGAATTTTCATATTTGTCTAGTAGTTAAGAACAAAGTAAATATTTTTGACATAAATTTCCAGTAGTGATATTGCAAAGCAAGACTAACATCAAAATATTTTCTGGAGTTACTATGGTCAGTATACATTTTTAGATATTTAGAGTTGAATCATAATAGTTTAAATCCTTGCAGATCAGAGCTTACAAGAGTCTGATACAAATTTTTTAAACAGGATTTGCACAAATAGGTAAAGTGGAGGGAATCAGTGATATGCGTTGGTGTTGTCCTGGTAAGTAAAAGGGTATCAAAGGAGGAAAGTACCTACACTCACTATAATATGCCTGTTTTGTGTGAAAATTATTGAGGAATTAATATGATCAATTACTTATGCATGGCTGGGATATCAGATATTTGCTAGGTCAATTTCTCTAAAAGATTTCAATATTTCTGAGAGCTGTTGCCTTCTATAGGTTGAATATGTTCTAACTTTAGTGTGATTTTCTCTCAGATTTTTAAGACAGGCAAGAGGAACATTAGAAGGTTTAGGTTTCATCCATTTTGCCTGAAAATGGGTACTTGACTTGGTAGTTCTGCAGTTGTGAATACATGTTAAGCTATAGAGACAAACAACAACATGACTACAAACTTCTGACATCCCAGCCATGCAGGTGTAATGGCTCTGTATTTATTCCTTGATCACTTTTACACAATACCCAGACTTTTAGTGAGGGTAAGATCATCATTTGAAAATGTTTCACCTAAAAAAATATCAAATATTTAACAGGTACTATTCAATTATCCACTCATAGTATGACTGCCTAGAACAACAAACATATGCCACTGTTTTTCTTCACTCCACATAGGTATTTGTACAAAACATGCCTCAGAAAATGTATACCCACTCAAACTTTCAAGAGCTTTCGTTTGCTCTGCAGTATAAAAACTAGGATAATCTATTGAAGTGACTCCAGAAAACATCGGAGCCTGGGTTTCCATTATTCTGCAGAGAATAGGGATCAATAGAATCACTGACTTTGAGTTTCTCTTTGTATCGCTTTATATTAAGACCACCAGAAATTTCTAATTTCAATAAATATTCACTTTATTCATGATAAAAACTACAATATCAAAAAATCAAAACAAAATCAGTGACGATCATAACCTTAAAACTCGCCATTTTAGGGGAAGAGGAAGTAAATTTTTGACGTTTGAAGTACGGACGGAAACGGAGCAGGTACAGCGGCCATTTTTAGGTCACGGGTTCTGGAATGCCTAATGTTTCCTAGAGTGACTATATAAATAGAGTGACGACAATGGCCATGCAAATGGCTGCCATTTCCGGTCATTGACGTAGATGTCAATTAACGTCAAAGTCAAATGAAACATAAACAAACTACACAATACACGTGTTTCAATTTCCAATTTTCGTTTGGGTTTTTATCAGAGTTTCATTGGCTCAATCTATGAATCTATGTCTATTGTAAATATTATATGTAATAATGGCTGGGCCAAAAAGATTCTCTAAAATAGTACAAATCACGAATATCACGATGTTCTTGAAAGAAAATGGAGATGAAAGCAAAGCTATGCAAGGTAAGCAGCATCAAAGTATACCTAGTATCACCAGGAATTTATGATTCTATTGAAATATCCAGGGTTAATTATCCTGCTTAAATATCCCCAATTATACACCAACGAATCCACATGCAACATTTCAGGTACCTACTCAAAGCATCTCCCTATCACTTGAGAACCAGTTCAAATGAGAAGATGAAAGATGAAAAAGTGATGTTTGATGAATCCATCTTATAAATATGTCCCCAGAAGAACACAACTTAAATAAGTACATTGATGAAATGATAACCTAGGATATCCCATATCTCAAATGATGAAGTGATCAAGAAATTACTTGCCCATATAAGGTCAGTTTCAAATGATAAACAGAAATACTGAAGCAATAACTTTAATAGCCATGAACATACA